AAGAAATTAAGTGGCAGACAATGAAAACTATGCGGTAGGCCTGTATACTTGCTTCCTTTATCTTCCTCTTTGGTGTTGTTTTCCTGGGGAAATTGTGTTTGTGAGGCTCACTGATAGATTGTCTGCAGACAGATGATCATAGCTTTCTTTTTGAGTTTAGTCATCATCATTGTTAACACATATATCCTCTCGCCATGTGCTAGGGAGCTATGAGGTCTATGGTCTCTCCCCTCAGGGAGTTGAAGTTGTAGTTAGCGAGAAGGATAATTACATAAAACAATTATTAAAATATATGAGAGCTCTTGCTATAAGCCAGTGAGTAATCTATACAAAAGTGCTGTAAGAATTTATCACAAGTAAGTAATCAACAATGAGTTGGTCATTGGAGAAAGACATCACAGAGTAGTTGGTTTGAAATTAAAAAAAAGTTTACAAGCAAGCAAGCTGGATTTTGAAAGAAATGTCATACTGCGGTAGGCACAGGCTGGATGGGAAGGTGGGGGAAGTGTGTTCAAGGCCAAGGGAATGGTGTTAAAAAGCAGAAAACTGCGTAAGAGTAGATCCATTGCAGGAATGGAAGGTTCAGAAGGAATGTCATGGGAGAGAAAATTAAAGAGATAGTTATGAGCAATCTGGGCTTTGAATTCGAGGTGCCAGAGATTGGACTGCATCCTGTAGACATTAGGAAGAGTCATGACTGGCAAGGAGGGGAGAGGAATGAGCAGGGTGCGCGTTTTCAGGAACAATCCGTGTCTGTAGATGGGAGGGGGTAGGGATCTGTAGATAGCATGAAGGAGAGCGAAAGTGACAAAGTTAGGGTTGTGGAAGGAAGGAACATTATGAAGGAATGTCGATAGCTCTTGGTGACTGATTAGATAGGAGGTAGTATTAAAGTGATACCCAGGATGCAAGTCCGAGTGATGAAGAGAATGAACATTATCTTTAACAGAAATAGAAAAGCTGATGTGTGAGGTCAGGTGATGTGTTCAGTTAGGCACGTGGAGTTGGAGGTAATGGCAAACAGCCACGTGGAGGGGTCCAGTGGGCTGCTGGAGTCGAAAAAGAATTTGTGGAAATTTTTCTGAGCAGGAAGGAACCTGAGAGATCATCTCTCTCTCTCCAGCCTTCTCATTTTACAGACAAAGAAACATGTGACATGTTAAGTGACTTGATCATTATCAAGTAGTATTTATGAGGGAGATCCTATTTCATAATGCAAAGGAACTTTATAAAATGAAAAGGCCTGGGAAAAAAGATCTGAAAGATGCCCTCGTGGGTTGAAGGCATCTACAGGCTTGAAATCTTAAAAAGGAAGGAATTTGGAGTGTGTGGAGGGAAGAGGTTAGGCCGAAGAGCTGCCCCTACCCCAAGGGGGGGAAGGGGAAGGGATCTGGCAAAGGAGGCACAGAGGCAGCCCGTCAGAGGATGCTGTGAGGAGCAAGTTGGGAGAGGTCAGGAAACAGTGCTCCCTGCTCTGGAAGGAGTTAAAGAGAACGTGGACTGAGAAACGGCCACTAGCCTTGATTAGAAAGTGAGTGGTGGCAATAGTAGCAATGACAGTCACAATAGCTAGAACCAGGTCGGGCACTATTGTAAGTGCTGCACATGGTCTCATTCATGGACTCTTTATAACGACTGTGTAAGGTGGGTATTTATTACTTTATCTCCATTTTACAGATGAGGAAACTGAGGCAAAGAGAAGTTAACCTACTTGTACTGGGATCACAGAGCTCCTATGTGGTGGAGCCAGAATTTGCCAGTCGGGCTGGGTTTCAGGGGATTGATGAGGACAGAAGCGAGTTGTTCAGGCTGTTGGCAGTAAAGAGAGGAGGGAGGTGGTAGTTCAAGGTCCTAGACAAGGTCGCTTTCAAGATATGGAGCTGAGCGTGATGACTCACAGAGGTCGGGGAAGCCAGCAGAGCGTAAGTGGCTGTACAGGGTGCGGGCAGAACAGAGACCACTAGCACAGGTTCCGTCATGAGTCTTGAGTAGGAAGAGGCAAAACATCTTTTCTTCTGAGATTGCTCCCTGGCTCCCAGCCTTACCAAAGTTACCAAAAGGCCATTTTATTATTCCCCACCTCCCAAGGACCTCAGGTTTTCAAAGATTTTGAGTATCAATTTTAAGCTTTTATTTTTAGTTGAAGTATAATTTATATGCTATGCAATGCCCGGATCTTAAGTATACTGTTTAATGAGTTTTGACTACACCTTTAATATATTAATTCATTTCCCATTTTTGTTGCTCAAAGATGCATAAAATTTCCAGTAAGAATCTAGGATTATCACATCAAGTTAATGCAATCTAGTCAAAAGCAAGGATACCTGACTTTTTAATTAACCTGTTTAAGACTGTTTGAGGCCTTTTGAAATACAGAAAAGCAGCTCATAGATGCATATTATTACTATCTAAGACCCTCGTGATCCAAGGACCCCAAGCCGGTAAACAGGCTCAGTCAGTCATGGAAAGAGACCACAGGAAGAATGGGACCATCGTTGGCCTTAGGCCTAACGCTTTCTGAAAACCTAGCTATCACAGTTGATTCTCAGGAGCTGAGCTAGGACAGTGTGATCTTATTAGTTCTTCAGAATAAAAAAACCAAATAGTGATTCATAACAATTTTAAAATTAAGTGTATGTGACTGGATATTTAGAGATATTAAGGAACTCCTCTTATTGTTTTGGTTTGATAGTAAAATGGTGGTATTGTTTTTAAAAAGAGTTCTTACTTTTAAAGATGTGTGCTGAAATATTTACAGATGATCAGATATCTGAGATATGCTTTAAAATAATTCTATGTTGTGTGTGTGTGGGGGGGGGGGGGCGGGGTAAAACTTTAACAAGAGTGGCCTGAATTGATAATTGTTAAAGTTGGTACATGGTGGTTTATTATTCTGTTCTGTCCACTTTTATATAGTTTAAAAGTTCTCATGGGGGCTGGCCCTGTGGCTGAGTGGTTAAGTTTGCACGCTCCACTTCAGAGCCTGGGGGTTAGCGGGTTCAGATCCTGGGGCGGGTACTGAGCACCGCTTGATACTGTGGTGGCATCCCACATAGAAGAATTAGAATGATTTGCAACTAGGATATACAACCATGTGCTGGGGATTTGGGGAGAAAAAAAAAAGAGGAAGATTGGCAACAGATGTTAGCTCAGGGCCAATCTTCCTCACCAAAAACATTAAAAAAAAGTTCTCATAATAAAAATTTAAAAGGGAGAAAAAATAAAACTAAGAACATCGGTCAGGGGTTAGTTTCATATAACAGATCTTTCTATGTATGTTAAGCAAAAGGGATTTAATACAGGGAATTAAGTGCCTGTAGAATTGTTAGAAGAGAAGGCAGAGTGGGCTCTAGGCTGGGCCTCTGGGAATAATTACCAGAACACCACCACTCCACTGGCCTGCTAAGGGAACTGCTACTTGTGCCTCCATCAGGAAACTTGTTTCTCATTGTCTCAACTGCATGAGCCAAAAACGCATCACTTGTGCCAAATCTGATGATTAGGAATCCATAGCCACAACTGTTGGTTCCAGGGCTATTTGCTGCACCTGCTAGCAAAATGGATGCCGTGCCCCCACTACCTTGCTCTCTGATTGGTGGAACCTAAATCATATCTAAAACCCTAGCTGCAAAGGAATGTGGGAAATGTAGTTTTCCACTTTCCATTCTCTACAGAACTGGACTAGAAAGAAGTGGGAACAAACACTGAGCGGGCCAATCCACCACAAAGTATATTAGCAATTGAAATTGTATTTTTGCTTATTTATCTCAAAAAGTAATTTTGAACAATGATTCAGTCACAACATATTCTTTGGTTTAGTTTTCCCTCTACAATCTTTTAATCATCTTTTACCAAACCCTTAAAACCTCCTATTACTGAAAAACACATCCCTTGCTCCCTCTAGCTAGGTCCATCCGAATGGTCATATAAGGCAGTTGTATGCATATGTACCCTCCATGTCTTTGCTTGCGCTGGTCCCAATACAAGTAAGCCCTTCCCTATCCCTCAGCCTAAATCCTACCTTTTTTAGACATAGTACAAATCCTCTCTCTTTGTAAAATCTTACCTGATTTCTCCAGGCCTCATGTATTTTCCTCCCTTCCTTCCTCCCTTCCTCCCTCCTTCCTTCCTTTCTTCCTTTGTTCCTTTGCACTTTCCTTCCTTCCTTCCTTCTTTCCTGTATGTACATATGTATGTATGTCTCTGAAATCTCTCTGGACTTGTTCTTTGATCTGCCATGTAATTTGGTCTCCATCATGCTAATGTTTTATGGTATACTGTCACTTTAAGTGGGTGGGTCTTGCTTTCTGAAATAAGCTCTGAGCAATGTAAAGTTTGCAGTTTCTTTGTGTATCCTCTCCTTTGGTACTTAACCTCATGCAGAGTAGAGAATAAGTTTATGTATTTGACATTGATACTGTTAGTAGAATGTACCCATATGAATATGAAGATACTAATGCTTGCTTAAGAGTACCTCACAAGATTGCGGTAAAGGCTCAGAAATGTTCTGTGTTGAGTAAACAAATTTGTAGCCTATTATAAATGTTGGGAGATAGTAATTATGGTTGGGTTAACATCAAGATCTTCACACCATCACCCCATTCGGCCTTTTAATTAATTGCAGAGTCTGATAATTGCTTCCATCTTTCAGTGAAACTGTAATTCTTTGCTTCTTGAACTCAACCTGCACTTCTGCCCTTGAGCCATTGACCATGTCAATGACAAGTGTCAGCTCAGGCCCCATCTCCGCCTGTCAGTCTCCTGTCCACCAAGCAGTGTGACTGTCCCGTAGTAATGGGTTAGATGTCAGTTTATGGCACAGACAAGCAGTTAAGCAAGCATTTGCGGTAATGGTGTAGACCCGCGTTTACTGACATAACTCAGGATAGGAGCCCAGATCTTAAGTGAAAAAAATATGTTTTAAAAAATCTATGGTATGATTTCCATTTTTGTACATGTGTACATATTTTTTATTTGTACTCACGTTTTTCATTTAACAGATATTTATTGAGTGTCTACTGTATGCCAGGCGCTGTATCTATGTGCATAGAAAATCCTGGAAGTTCATACTCCAATATATATACAGTGGTCATCTCTGACTGCTGAGAGAACAGGTAACTTTTTTCTTCTTACTTGTTTCATCCTTCATTTGCAAACTTCTATTGTCTGACTTTTCTACAAAAACCTATATTATTTATTGATAAGGAACTAATATGTTTTTAAAAACACTTCTTTCTTCAAAATGCTTACAATGTAATGCTACAGGAGAAAAGTAGGTTAAAAACAGTCTAAAATCTCAGTGTCAAATAAAAAAGAGAGAGGGAGCTAAAGAGGGAGAAAGGAAAAGAAAAGGAAGAATAAAGGAGGAAATACATCAAAATCTAATGGTGGTTGGGGTCGGCCCGGTGGTGCAGCAGTGAAGTTCGCACGTTCCGCTTCTTGGCAGTGCGGGGTTCGCCGGTTCGGATCCCGGGTGCGGACATGGCACTGCTTGGCAAGCCATGCTGTGGCAGGCGTCCCACATATAAAATGGAGGAAGATGGTCACGGATGTTAGCTCAGGGCCAGTCTTCTTCAGCAAAAAGAGGAGGATTGACAGTAGTTAGCTCAGGACTAATCTTCCTCAAAAAAAGAAAAAATCTAATGGTGGCCATTTTTCAGTGGTGAGATTTCTTTTACAACGTCTGTTCTAAGGATTCTACAGTGAGCATGTATTTAGTTTTAGAATCAGAAAAAAAAAATTTCTTTTGCAAGAGCCAGTTCAAATGTGACTTTTCTATGAAGCTGCCTCAGATCCCTGAATCTGACATTTTCCAAACTTTTTAAATCCCTTCATCACCTCGCACTCAATAGATATAGGATCCGTTGAATGGATAGTGTTTTCTAAGTGTGGGCTTAACCTAAGTGACAGGTGTCACTAACTTTGCTAGTTTTCTCCATTTTCTGAGTTTGCATTTTCAATAACAAGTCAGATTTCAGATAGGTTATTTCACAACAATACAAATTTATTCCAAAAAACAGAAGAGTAGATTAGGACACAGACACTACACAGACGGAGGAAAAACGCTGTGAAGACACAGCAAGAGGGCAGCTATCTGCAGGCCAAGGAGAGGAGCCTCAGAAGGAATTAAACTGGCGACACCTTGACCGTGGACTTCTAGCCTCCAGAACTGTGAAACAATAAATTTCTCTTCAAACCAAAGGAAGAAAAGTTTATTCTATGTGATTGACTTAGTACTGGTATTTGCCTAATACTGACATAATTTTAGCAGCGAGGACTTTCTCTTTTCTTTTTGTTCTTTTCTCTTTTTGTCCATTTTTAAAATTAGTTATATATATTTATGTTTATATACATGTGTGTTATTTGTATACACACACACACATATATTGATATGAAACTTTCAATTCAAACAGTAGACTTCAGATTTATTGTTAGTCAACCTTGCCTTGTGTCAGAAAATTGTTATCTAGTCCCTATTTCCTATCAGTTTGTGGAGAGAAAAGGACTCTGAACCCAGACTGGGAACTTCATCCACTGAATCAACTTTCTACCAGTCCTGTAGTATCACTTCAGTAGCCCCTGAGGGCGTCACACAGGAGAGAGCCAGTGTGGCAAGACTTCTAGAAATTACCTATTTGTGCAGCTTTCATCAGAGGGGGCCAAGGCGTGAGAGTGGGGTTCAGCCCCTTTAATGCACTTCAACTTTTGCAAAGTGAAGACAGGTTGTAAACATTGCTGCTGTGTGAAGGCACTGAAAGCAATTAGAGATTGCTCTGGCGCTATTACTCTGGCTAGAAGACTCAGCCACGAGCTGCCAGGTTGGCCTCAGACCAGGAGGTCATGGAGCTTAAATCTTCCTGTCCTGCTTCCTGCTTTCCAGGAGAAGCCCTGCCCCACAGGAAGATGAGGCCCGGAAGCCGAGGTGTTACATAGTATTTATGTTGTGGAAGCTGTAAAGGATCCTGGAACCAGGGAAGTTCCATTCTAGATAGGAGACTGTGAATAAAAAGGAATAACGCATGGCCTAGTGTAGGGAAGAAGAGAAGAGAAAATTCCTGAAAAAGTATCATTCTAGGGTACTTTCTATGGGCCCTGAAGATATTATCAATTAGCAAAATGCTTCTTGGCGTAAATTAGAATGTTTAAATGGGCACATTGGAGTTTTGACCTTAACTAGGTTACAGTCGTCTTCTGGAATTCAGGATCAGACAAAATATCAAACGTCATCCAAGGGGGTTTACCATTGGAGGTAAAAAAAAATCTCATTGCCATTCAGCTTCATTCCGTGGTCCCCATCACCTCACTGAGATTGTCCCAGTGAGGCTCCCGTACGTACACAGGGCTTGCTTTTGAAGTTGCGTTTACCTCTGTTGCCACCTGCTTTTTGATTGGTGATGTGTGTGTCTGAAACCTTTTTCCCCCTTACATGCTATTGGTGACCCCTCAGCATTTAAATCACAGTTCTCCACGTGGAGGAAAACGTGAACTCTGCAAGTCTTTCGTTTCTGATGAGGAAATATAGTTTCAGGTGGATTAACCTAAATCCCCTGGGTATGAGTTTTTAATTTCCTAATACCCTGACATGGGGTGATTTCATTGGAGAGACTGATTTAATCGCTTTCAGTTGATGGATAAACTGTTTGCTAAATTTCAAAAGACAGATTGGTCCTCTGCTGCTTGACCTTTAGGTTGGGTAGTTGATCCCTCATGATGCCATTTAATGAGGATTTCCATTTTTATTAAACTGGGATTGCTAAATCAGAGGTGCTTTTGTGTCTGTGCAGTCTGTACCCAGCTATCTGTGCACCCTGTGGTCTGATGCATTAAAATAACTGAATCGCTTTCATTTTAAGCACACTGTTTCATAAAAGGGTGTCTATATTGCCTGCAGCTGACATGAGCATAAAGATTATGTGACGTGACTCATTTTATAGTTAGAAATGGAGAGAGATTTATGAAAGGCATAAACATTTACAGCCTCTATAACTTGATGTACAAAGATTGTTTTAATGCATCCAGTAGCAAAATGTAAAAGTTGGCGTATCAGTAAATTAACTATTTGTTTACTTGTAATAGTTTATTTTTCATCAATGGTGATATTCATATGTTTATTTTTCATGGTATTGTATTTCAGGAGTGTCAAGCTGATATTTTTGCTGCTATCCACTTGTAAATACACTCAGAACAGGAGAATTTGGGCTAATTTTTTGACTACAGGTACTTTCTAAACATGATGCATTTCAAAAGTGGACTCGAATTAACCGAGTTGCAAAACATGACGGTGCCCGAAGACGATAACATTAGCAATGATTCCAATGATTTCACTGAAGTAGAAAATGGTCAAATAAATAGGTGAGTATTTTTCCACTAACACTTCCATCCAATGAAAGAAATGTCTCTAAAATATTATTCTGGTTTTCAGTTATTTTCTTGAATTATTCATTACTAAGGTTATGCTCCATTTGAAGATGTAATTTGAATTTCTTATGTGACATCTGTTGGGCATAGTCTGCAATAGCAGATGAAGCAAATAGGAAAGTAATTTATTCATCTTTTCAAATCTTTCAATTGAATCTAATAAAAATGTGTGAATACATTGGACCCCAACCAGCCCTAACTTTTCAAAAGCTCTGTACTTATGAATTAGACGGAGTGTTGGAATTTCACTGCATCTCGTGTCTGAGTGTGTACTACAGTCATCTGACCTCGCCCACATTTTAAGCAAAAAATGGTCAAAGTCGCGTTTGCCAATGTTCCTGTATTAAAACTACAAATACATCATTACAAGCATAATTTGTAACATGGATTTTAAATAATAACAATAATAGTTGAGCTCAGATGGCTCTATGAGAAACTGTAGTAGAGAAACAGTACATGAAACAGATAGAAAAGAAGAGATAGCATGAATGAGAGGAGGTAGAGACGTAGGTGGGAAGAGCACTGATCTGGAAGCTCTTGAATAAACTGTGACCTCCTTCCAACAAGTCCTTCCAACTCTTGGGTTCTGTGTAGAGTAGGACCAAATGTCTCTCTCTCTCTCTCTTTTTTTTTTTAATGATTTGGGGCATCCTCTGACCTACTGATTTTGTAGCAGCTTATGTGGAGCCCTTGGCAGGAAGCCCTCTAGCTGGGAGTTAGTGATGCTGCTCGTCTGAAGCATGAGGCCTCCTAAAGGCTAGGAGAAGAGAGGGGAGTACACAGGACTACTTATTAGATACCAACGATGCTGCGCTTTGGGGCGGGGGCTCAAAAGGAACTTGGGATGGAGGAGGATGAAAACTTTACATCAACTAACCAAGCGTCTCTGAGGAAATCATTTCTGATAATCTGCTCTACATTCTGATAATTGAAAGTCCAGCAGAGGACTTAGCTGCCGTATTTATATATACTCAGAAGTTTCAGCTCTGCCTCGCCTCCTTTTTCTCTTACTTAAATGTTCTTTGAGGTCAAGTCTCCAACCCAGACACTTCCTCATTATCATCCAAGTGTTATTTACTGTGTTGTGATATTTCGTATTGTTGGACTCAAGTTTGCTTCTTTCCTCTTTCTGACTAATTATTTATAGTAACTATGGTTTCTTGAGTGCCAGGTGTTTCTATGTATATTGCTGTTTATCCTTATAACATCATGCAAAATATTCTTTCGCAAATAAGGAAAATTTAAAAATTTCGTTTACAAATAGAGAAACCGAAACTCAGAAAAATAAAATAACTTTCCCAAGGGCATACACAGGTCTGTCTGAATTCCTGCCCTTCTCTATCCTGCTGCCTTTGGTTATAGTGCTCGGGCATTCACAGAAAAGATAGTCTTTATTAGTTGTATTAAACTCTACAAGTGCCAGTTCATGCTCTGTACTTCTGGAGTGTTCTGCAGTCACTGCTGGCCTGCACTTAACCATAGATGGGGTTCTAACCATTTCACAAATAGGACATTTTAGTTTTATAATGAAGCTTCATTCCCAAAGCAATGCAAAGCTTGAGGACCTTAAAATAAGAGTGATTTATAATATTCTGTTTAGAATCTGAAGTTGATCTTAAAAAGTTTTGCCTACTGAAAGTCTTAAGTTTTTGAGGGGATTACCACTTGCAGTAGGTGGAAGCACCCATTCTTGCCCCTGACTTGGGCACCTTGCCCAGGTGAGCTCACTTCCCTGTGGACTGTGACTAAGGCAAGGACTGGTGCAGCGGGAGAGCTCTTGGGTGTGGACCACTTGTTTTGCAGAATTGGGTTCCACTGTTGCCCATGCAGTGTGATGCATTTATTTATTTTGTCTCCCCTCCTTCACTGACACAGTTCATGAATCTTGCTTCATTTTTGGCTCTAGAACGATTAAAATTAAAAACAACATATTACAGGATGAAGTCTCAGCTTTTTAGCCTCAGGCAAAAATCAAAAAAGACCCCTACCATGATTCCTGCAATAGTTTCACCTGAGTCCCTCTCGCTCTTCAGCTTTTTCACAGTGATGGGAGGAAGGTAGACCTAACCAGATGAATCTAAGAGAACCAGCTCCCAAAACAGTGAACTTGTAGGAAACAGTGCCTCTTTTTAGAGAACTAGAGTAAATGTTGAAAATAAATATTCATCTCTCATTATCTGGCATCTAGCAGATAGCTTTGCCTGGAAACTCCCCATTATGATACTATAAGAATCATTTTTTTAAGTTCAGTTGAAAATAGAGTACAGCCATTTGGGCATTAGGACCCCTGTCCTTATTGCAGCTCAATTGTTTTATTTCATACCCTAATTTTGGGGTTGTAGTCAGAGAAATCTATACCTGGAACAACAAAACCTTTCAAAATGTCCACTAGGTGAGGACTGCTGACATTTTCATGTGCATATGAAACACCTGGAAATGTTGTTAAAATGCAGATTTTGATTGACTCTGTCTGGGTTGGGGCCTGAGATTCTAATTTCTAGAAAGCTCCCAGGTGATGCCCGTACTGCTGGTCCATGGACCACACTTTGAGTAGTACTCTCTAGACTCTTCCTCTAGATGTGTGCTTCTTGAGAGAAGGAACCACCTTAATCATCTTTATTTCTTGTACCCTGTAGTGATATGATAATAGTGCCTGATAGACTGTGGACATTACAAAGTATTTTTTAAATGAGAGAGACAGACAGACAGACACAGAGAGAGCAGTTAAGTGCACGTTTTCATTTAGACTTGTATTGAATCCTGGCTGTATCAGTAGATCTTGTGTGATCTTGTGCTTTGAGCCTAAATTCCATCCCTGTAAGACAGGAATAATAATAATACCTTATCTCTTGGGATTGTTGGGGAATATTAGATGCAATACTCTTTGTAGGTTAAAAACTCAGGCTGTGCAATCAGCCAGCTTAGGTTCAAATCCTGGCTCAACAGCATAGTTATTAGTAATGCAACTTTGGTCAAGTTACTTAATTTCTGTAAAATGGAGCTAATAATAATACCAACCACATGTAATTATTGTGAAAATAGATGAGAAAATCCATGTCAAGTACTTGGCACAGTGTCTAGTAATGGTAAGCCTTTTAGTATGAAAAAAGTGTATATCAATAAAAGTGCAACCCTCTTTCTTTGCCAAGCACTTCTCCACCCCCAGGAATAATAATATTGCTTTAGGCTTTGGATGATTGCTGGTTATTATTACCTTCAAGTTGTTGAAATGTTAGTATATTATTCTAGCTGTATCCAGGCAAATATTCACATATTTTAATCTTTATCTACTGTTGTTCTCATCTCTATGTTGCATCTCGCCTATAGAGTTCTCAGCTCTATGCTCTCATCTCTATTGTTGTTATGACCCAGGAAGCATCTAGGAAAAATGAGATTTTTCTTAAAAGAATTTGGGGCAACTCTTTTCACTACACCCTGCATCAGCTTTTATTTATTTATTTATTTTTGGTCCCTGTGTCTCTTTCAGAGTTCATATACTAAATTTGTATCACTTGGGAGCACTCTTGAAAAGTTCTCTCTCTCTTCTTCTAATGTCTTTTCCACACCTTAGGATAGAAGATTCCATAACTTCCTCCTATATTCAGTTTTTATGTCAGAAAATTCTTTCCTTGCTTGAATTGCTCCTGTTACAATTAAAGTCTGTTTTGTTCTATTTTCAAGAGAGTTTATCCACCAAGTAAGGCTCTGTGTCCCTCTCAGACTTCTCTTAAAATGCCTGCTGTTTCTTTAATTCTTTCACATTTTCCAATCTCTGTTACTTGCTTCTTTCCTCCTGTTCTCTTTTCCTTTTTTATAGAACTTTAGAATTTCAGGGAAAGAACTAGGAAAGGTCATTTAAGTTCAACCACTCATCTCTTTTGTGTTATGAATCCTTAGATGAAACATTATAATCTAGTGAGAACCTGATTGGTAGAGATTAAAATAGGAAGATTATCTTCCCATTGTACAACCCAGCCGTAATTGGATTGTTGTTGTTGTTGTTGATTTATTTTTGGTTTTAAATCACTGCCCTATATTGCTCGCCTCCCTTCACAGTACCTCAATGCAACGCCTACATCATTTTTCAGGCTTTGTCTATTGAAGGTCACTGCCACAGCCACTGTAGGTTTTTGTTTTGTCTCGATCTGTTTGCAGAACAATTGGTTGATCAAATTCTGCTTTGTGAGTACAGGCTGACCCAGTGAAAACTCTGTTGTAATAATACTTTTGTCATCCTGAGATCCCATGTCAAAGGCACCTTCTCCCATAGCCCATTTTTAAGTCAATAAAGAGAAGTTTTAATTCAATTTCTTTGCCACAGGTCAGTGTTTTTTAACACACAATTGCATTTTTTAAATGGTGAGATAACAGAAACTTGTGATAAGCTGCTTGACCTAGTTATTTCGAATGGACTTTTCCATTACAAAAAAGGTTGGTTTTATTTTGTTTAAAAAAAAGTTTACAGAAGTACAAAGCGAAGATTTAAAGACTAAAGAGAAGAAAAAGTTGAAACACCATAAAGAGAATAAAGAGGCTTGCTCTAAGTGCTTCATTCTTACTGAGCTAGACTTCCCTGCAGCCTGAGCTACTCCCGAATTCCTAAATAGAAGATGCAGATGAGGTTTCTGGAGGGTTCCTCTGAGTTGCTAATGTATGAACAGGTCCATATAAGAAGGAGCTGAGGGACCGCGAGCACTATGCAACGCCTCAGGATGCTGGAGGAGCCTAGTGGCACAATCTGTGCCACAGAAAAACAGTAAATAGGTCAGAGTCAGAAAACTCGGTTCAAATCAGAGTATAAGACTCATGGAAGATGAGGGCTTTGAACCGGCAGGAAGGCTTGGGCTGAGAGGAGGGAGGGTCTCCTGAGGGGAGAATGGATTCCTACTACTTGTTTTTCAGTCTCTGTTCTCGGAATGTATTGGTCATGTCTC